TGAAAAATGAAGGCGAAACTGCTTGTCACTTTGCCGATAAAAACGTGTTCACCGACGGTGTGTGCGTGTTTTAACTTTCCAGGCATAAAGCTCCCCTGCTGCCTCGACGAGGTGACCATCGGTGAGGCCCTGATTCCAGCAGCGCAAACACTCTGTTAAAGCGCAAAAAGGAGCTAAAGCTGCCTCCTCCTCCTGGGCCTGTACTTCGCACAGCTGCGATCAGGTCTGATCTAGCCGACTTCAGTGATGTCTCGAATTGCACCTATGCACGCGTGATGACCTGCTGCAGTTGACTTGGACTGTGCCGAACTGGAACTGTGCCGAGCTGGATTTCGAGTTGACTTCCTCCCATACCTCTAGTTCGGCAACGAAGTCGGATCGAGGGCAGTAACAGTGAGCTCTTGACGCGGACGACGAACCGCCTAAGTTGTCCTTCTTGGATGGCCTGGGATATTCTCGTGATACTGTCATAGCCAATGTGGATAGTTGCATTAGAAACCGATTCAGTCTACTTCACTCGAAGGATAGTCCACAGACTGCGACAGTTAAACACCTCCGGTTTTGGCTCATTTATTGGTCGTACAGCCTGGACTGCGCGAACAAGTGTTCGGTGCACGCGGTCTTTGTGGCGATGGAGGTGCCGCCTCCGGTGAGAGTTCGACCCTCGTTACCGAAGATGTCCACCGTGTGCCCACAGCAGGGTAGGCACAAGGACGGGTGGCTTGCACATTATAGTGGGCTCTCGAAGCATCTATCACACCCTCTCCTGCTCACCCTCCTGGATTCAGCGTCAAGACAGAGTCCAGAAGGCCAGAGGCTGGATCGGTGTGAATCCGCACTTAGGGGTGCCACCACACCCCTGGTCCGTGCACAAAGGACTGGAAGAGGAGAGAGGGGATGGGCGGCTCAAATCCCATCTAAAGGGGAGACCACATTAAGAAGAGACCAGTACTGCCTGACTCTCGGTCCTGGGAGGGGAGTCGAGTTATCCCGTCAGTTGACAACCTCCCAGGGCGTAGCTTTTAGCGCACCGTGATAGATTCGGACGCATCAGATTGTTTATATTGGGGAATATGCGCTGAGAGTCTACCTCACTCTTCCCTCCCTCTCCCATACATCAGTCTAATTTTCAACACGATCGGTCGAATGATGCGAGGATTGGGAGCAGTATCCTTTTGCATGAACTACTAATATCTGCTATAGTCTCTGATGATGGGTTCGAGCAGGGATCTTGTTCCAGCGATCGTGTCTCCTTCTCTACGGCTGCTTCGTGGGACTCGCCTATTCGCTTCTAGTGTCCGACAAAGTTAAACGGCTCAGCTGCACGTGCTACACAGACTACAATAATGGCGGCTGGGGTTGCAGTCACGAAACCATTGACCGGCTCACAGCTGTGAACGCCAAGTCAAACGATGACGAGAACCGGCTACGGCCGACTGATCGATAAATCGACCTGAGAGTCCGACTGCGCATGCCACACACGATACCTGGCCTCAACGCAGCATTCCAGGATTTCACGCAAAGGGGGCGGGCGACTTGGATCTCACATGCTTCCGACTTACTGAAAGACCACATGGAGAAGATGACAAAGAGCACGAGTCCCACTTGCGTGAGAGGTGCAGATTGTGGTGAGTGGTGTATGTGGCGGTAGGATTTGGTCTGCGAATTTGCCGAAGATTGACAAGTAGGCACATAGTACCGAGTAGGCTCACGCAATGGCCGAATATCCGCGGCCAGTACGGACAGTTGAGACGAAGGCGACGGATGTATGTTGATGCTCCTGGTCCTGGTTTGTCAGTCTCAGTGCGATGGGTTCGCAGGTCACCGACCAGGTCGAAGCGTGAGGTGAGGCTGTAGTTGCAATGGAGACAGGTTGAGATTGAATTCAAATTGCTGGTGGTAGGCGGTCGTGGTGAGGATAGTGATTGCCGAGGCTTGGCCCCCCAAACGTACCACATGGTAGATGCACTGGACCAAAACGGGATCCATATCGGATTCTGTCAGGCGTTATCGGACTGCGCACCATTACAAATGCCAACATTTCGGGATGCGGTGACAGACCCGGTTGCTGAAAGACGTCGCGCACACTGGGAGCCCTGCCACCTCCCACTGTTGTTGTCGGTTAAAATCCTGGTCATTTGCTGCATGGACCAGGGGGTGTGAAGTGGAACGCCAAAGTGTGGGTTCGACCGTGCTATCCAACTGCTCCCTCTTCCGCCTCCGGTCTTCTTGACTATGTCTTGACACCGGGTCCAGGTGGAGAGGGAGGAGAGAGAGAGCGTTAGATGCTGTGCAAATCCACATTCACTACAAACTAATTCACGCACAAGTCACCGTCCCTGCTCTCACCTTGCTGTGGAACACACGGTGGACATCGTCGACAACGACGGTCGAACTGTCGGTTGACGGGGCGTTGGGGTGCTCTGAATAGTGGCGGGAAGGGACGAAGTGCTTGTCGTCGTAACGGAAATTGTAAAAGGTAAGATTGAGGTGATGATGATGATGATGATGATGATGATGATGATGATGATGATGATGATGATGATGATGATGATGATGATGATGATGATGATGATGATGATGATGATGATGATGATGATGATGATGATGATGATGATGATGATGGAACTTGAAGAAGATCAGTTTATTCTAGGTCTATAGGCTCAGACGAAGTTTGTATTCACGAGTATTTGGGCCTAAGTCCATCAGCCACAACGGGAAACCGCTTAATACTCATTAACTGTCAAGAGGCAGCTAGTAGTATACTGTAGGGTAAACCTTTAGACCTAGGATAAACTGATCTTCTTCAAGTTCGCAATTAATTTCTGAGGATATTAAGAAGCAAAAAATTCTTAATTGGAGCATCTACCAGAAAGTAAACAGGGAATGCTGGGAGACCCACCGATGAGCCGAACCCCTCGCAGATGTGTCATGCAGCGGCAGAATATCGGCGAAACACGCGTGTGTGGGCTTTTGGATAGTACCTGTGGTGCTAGTTTGGCATCCCCTTACCCTAAAATATACTAATAGCTGCCTGTCGGCAGTTAACGAATATTAGGCGGTTACCCGCTGTGACTGATGGGCTTCGGTCCAAATATATATGGAAGTTTCGGTCTGCGCCTATAGATCTAGCATATACTGATCTACTCCAAGTTTGCAGTTAATTTCTGAGGAAATTAAGGTGTAACAATTGATCGTTTTTATCCAAGGACAAATCGGTTTACAAACAACGTCTCCCTGAAGAATCTAATTCGAGTTCCTACTCTTTCAACAGATAAACGTTGCACAACTGAAAGCTGTATATTAATTTGTTTAGGAAAAAGCGTTGACAAGCAGGTTTACACTGAGCTTAAAATGTCCTTAGTGATACCGAATGCCAGACTTTGGCCTCGCCCATGACTTAGCTTCAGTCGGCATCCCGTTCTCGACAACCAGTCTCTTTGCTAATTTTCCCAACAAACTGGATTTTAAATCGGAATTTTAAAAGATGTCAAACTTACTCAGCGCCATAGTTCGCAATGGCTGCAACTGTCTTGTTTATCCAACCTTTTGACTACTGGAAGTGAAGGGATTTTATACTATATCCTGCGACATTCAACCTCTGGAACGGTCTCCAGTTCGGTGCTGTCATGAAGTCTGGCGGTGGCCTGAGGATGCCTACTGTTTCTTTCAATCTTATTCAGGTTATTAGGACAAAAGTCGAAATGAGGTACCATGCTGATTGCCCAATGTCATGAAAATAATCGACAACTGGTGTTCACCCCAACACCATCGATCTTCCCCACAAGGGCTTTCCTATCACCACCTAACGATTATCTACCTAGTCCTCTTTGATTTACCGCAAGGCAGTTTTCTTTGAACTACAGTCCTATCCTTATCGTTTCGGCAGGGTTCTTTGAACTTTGAGGTAACCTTGTAATTTTCCATGTAAGCGGTGCTGTTAATGGCCTCTTCAGTTGAGCCTTTGTCGTCTCCCCAGACCGGCGTACACTCGTCACAGGCACGCACAGACTTCATTTGCCCACACTGTCCCATGGCATTAGGCTACCACCTGGGTTGCTTTGGCCAGACGCACCTTCCCGCATTTCAGGAGGGTGGTGCAGTTCAGACTCTCTCTCTCTCTCTCTCAACACTACCCTGCCTGCGCATGCAGTCACCCCTAGGTCCTCTACACAACACGCGGGCACGCACGGCGCCTAGCAAAAACACCCTCCACACCGCCCCTTCCGACATCGATGTGACGGGTCAAATTTAACCTGTCAGAATGTCCGCGTCTCACTGACGTGAGAAGATTGTCCCATGCTGCAGCCTGACACCCTTAAAATAGGGGGACAGGTTGCGTGTGGCACGCGTAGAGGGGTTCATCAACTGTTTCAGTCACCGGGTCTAATCACATCATCAGTCGGCCCCACTCAGACAGAGCGCAATTGCGTGAGAGAGGGTAGAGAGAGAGAGGCCGGCAGGGGAGATCCATCCGAAAGGCACTTCAAAACAGTCCCCACATGGAGTAGATGTGCTAACTCATGAAATGTTAGCCAAAATTCTGAAATGTGTTTTAGACTCGAAAAGATTACTTAAGTGGGGCTGTACTATTAGTCACCGTGAAGCATAATGCTAAGATATTTCAGTTACTTCGGGATGCTGGCTTTTGAATGAGCTTCTTTCCGGTCGCCTGCGAAAACCACACTCCGTAAAAAAATGACTACTTATATAGGTCAATTTTTTCATATTGATGTTCGATGTCCTCAAGAATTCAATTACATTTCATAGAAAACATGCATAAAAATATTCACTCTTTTACTCATTTGACAGAAAGTTACGTTTTTTTAAATCTTATACTTGAAGGAAGGGTATAACACGGTTTTTAAAAAGTTTCTAATTATGAGATTTTTTAAGACCGTGAAATGCTCGTTCATAAGACATCGCGTCTCTGCATTTACCAATTTTACTTGTAAATTTTACAATATGGCTCAAATCCACTGCCAAATTTTATGAACCCCATATAGTTTCCTCCTAGTGTCGTATAGAAATGTAGGATTTTCCGCACACGGAAAATATGCAGCTTGCAGTTTCGAAACCCTGAATGCAAATGTAACGGCAGGTCGGATTCAAAATTATTCGGGAATTGGAAAAGTTTTTGAAAACCAAATTATACACTTTCTTCGAGTATAAAATTGAAAGAGGTCGTAATTTTCTACCATATGAGTAAAAGAGTGAATATTTTTATGCATGTTTTCTATGAAATGTAGTTAAATTTTTGAGGACATCGAAAATCAATATGATAAATTTGTACTATACAAGTAGTCATTTTTTACAGAGCGTGGTTTTCGCACGCGGCCGGAAAGAAGCTCCTTCAAAAGCCAGCATCCCGAAGTAACTGAAATATCTTGGCATTATGCTTCACGGTGACTAATAGTACAACTCCACTTAAGTAATTAATCTTTTCGAAGAGAAAACGCATTTCAGAATTTCAGCTAACATTTCCTGAGTTAGCACATTTACTGTAAGCACATTCCTCGCACAAATCTGTCTCTCTTGAATCTATCACGATGCGCTGTTTGTCGAATCTCGGAAGACCGCTATCTTACATGCTAACTAGGCTGTTATTCGGAACTGAGGACCAGATCGTAACGGCTTCTTCCTCTTCTTAATGTGGCATTTATGGCTCTCAAGTGAGGTCTGACCCAGCCCAGAGGTAGCCTGGCACGTCTATGTGTGATGTCATCCACTGCACCATGGTCACCTCTGGTCTTCCTGACTTCGTCTTGTCGTGGGAGCACGGAGAATGAGGTAGATGCCGAGTAAGGCTGTTCGGCCATAAACAAACTGCTGCGGGGCGTCGTTGTTCGTGAGGGCTGAACTAGCGTACAATGTGAGCGTGCCTTCGCAACCTGCAATCAGCTCCCCCGTCTCCATCTCAACTCCCCACCATAAGGAAGCATACCCTACGAGGAGGGGGCACGTAATCGCGTAGGTGCCTCCCCCCCCCCGAGAGTAATTCTGATTGTCATTTTTGCTCCAAACCAGCTTCGTAACCCTCAGTGAAATATGCGCTAAAAAGGACGTTGATCATGCCCATCAGTAAGCTGACCGCTGCTTGTGGACGTTAAACGCGAGATCGGGAAATGTGTGTGTGTGGGGGGGAGACAAAAAATAACCCCCGCTCACATCACCACGTTCATCCCACCCGATAATTGTTCATTTGAGCTTCCTGACTGATTCTAATTAGCCGTGCCTTGGATACTAAACTCTACGACCTCATTCCTGTAATGATTTGCGTGGTTATTAGTTGAACACTAATATCTGGATCTGATGTATTGAGAATACAAAACGAACGAACAATATAAACAGGAGATTCATCGTACTATCAATACCGTGCGATTGAATAAAATCGACTGAGTTAATAGCAGTCCAAAACGTTCGCTCTTACCTTGAGCTGCTTGTCATCGAACAAACACGAATCCTCTTTAGAGCGCCTATTGTAAACTCGGTTTTTGACGGGCTCTTCCAAAGAGGGATCTGTGTGAAGAGGAGAAGAAAAAGGGGAAAAATCTCACTAATGACACTTTGGTAAAGTGTTTTACCCATGATATCTAGATGAACATCTTCAGACACGAAAGTAAGGGTGCGCGGATTAACTAACTTTTCAGTTTGACTTTACACGTACAGGACATCAGCCGAGAAGCAAAGAAACAGGATCTTGATACTTTTCTAAGGGTATACACGATCCTGCATAAGAGCAATTGAGGCCAGTGGACAGTCGGAGTCCAAGTAAACTGACTAAAACCGTACGAGAGGACATCAGCATGTCTCATTGACGTACCTCAATGTGAACACGCTGGAGTCAGTGACACCGCTCAGACCAAGCGTAATCATAGTTTCGCATGTCCTCGCGATGACACCCAAAACCTCACTGCATCAACAAATCTTCTTCTTCTTCTCCTTCTTCTTCTTCTCCTTCTTCTTCTTCTTCTCCTTATTCGTCTTCTTCTTCTTCTTCCTCCTCCTCCTCCTCCCCCTCCTCCTCCTACCCCGATTCCCATTCCCACTCCTCCGCCCCGACGATCCCGGGGATCCTTCCTCTTCACTTACCTGGTTTCATGTTCAAGCTCCCATTGGCGGTCGCGCATTCATCAAAAAATTCCACACAACCAACGCACAAAGAATCACTTCGCAGTTTTCACACGCCGAGGCTAGTGCGAAAGTCTTCACCTAACCTCTACTTCACCAAAGGAGGTATATTTGAGGAGAACACAGTCTCGTAGCCAAGGGCGACTAATGTTGTTACCTAGTGCTCTTGTTGTTCTCGTTAGTCAGCGGTAGACCAGACTGGACCATCGAGCGTGCCGCTCAGACGCCCCCACCATCATGTCAGTGCTGCCGGCAGGAATTGTTAGCGCGCGCGCCGATGCCATCTGAAACCTCTTGAGGAAAGCTTTGACCTCGGAGCGAGGGAAGCCGCCTAATCATCAGGTCAGACAGCATGGTGTTAGTGCGCCGGACACGACGCTGGCCATCACCACCACTACCACCCCACAGGGGCGGTGAATTTGCTTACAGTGGGGCAGCGACATGCGCAGGACCGACTTCACTCCACCCCCTACCTCCCCCCATGCACTTGTAAATAGGACTGCGTCATGACGCTGTACGGTAGGCTACCACCCACCAGCCAAATCAGGATTCACACGCACACAAACTCGCCGACGTTTAAGAGACATGAGGGCTAGTCCTTCTCTAGAACAAGAGCTCTATCAGCCCGAAGGTTCGGAATCTCACTCGAATTCATCATCAGAGACAAAGGCAGATAAGTGTACTGAATTTCCCAGGCGGTAACACTCACCAGTCGAAGCAAATGCTGGACTGTGCCTGCCGCTCAGATTAGTTGAGCCACAGATGAAAGCTGCGCGTCAGGGCGAATGACCATCTCGCGCACCTGTGCATTTGATGCAACTGTCAGTCCAGCAAAGTAACTATCCTCGCGTCAGCGGCCCTTACACGCTCGAGGTGTAACATGATGCATGTCTGCTTGCTCTCTGAGAAGATGGAACGTCGTCTAACCACCAACCTAATTACTCTACATCAACATGAAATCGGCTACGTTTCGCGCATTATTATCCACTTATTCGCCACCACAGGCGACGATGACAAGGTCAGGGGGACTCGACGACATCAAGGGGGTGTGTAGACATCGGCAACGACAGGAAGACTACAAAGATCCTGTCTGCCTTGCTTTCCGCCATCAGCGACCAAGGTCGGGTGTGGGGGGGGGAATGATCGTGGAAAGGATACACTAAATGCAGCCGCTCCACCACACACCATCCCACGCTACACCCAGACTCGCTGAATTCCGCTCCATCTTCGGACGACTGAACTGATGTCAAATTCGACGCCCTGTCAGCAATGATAGGCCACCACTCTCAATCTTGACAGAAAATACATCCGAACTGACCACTTCCACATCCTCGTCTCCGCCAGCGCACCTTCGTCGATTTATGCCCTGTCAGAATGCACAGTAAAGCCTTCCCAGACCCAAACGGACTCATTCGTATACACTGGCCAGAAAAGGCGTTTTACCACTTGTGTCACGACTATTTGACCGTCCCAACATCTGCCCACTAAAGTCAGTTTTCTTGCCAAAATTGCAAGCGTGCAGTACATTTACCAAAATCGTAAGGATCGTGCGTTAGCCTAACTGTTAGCTTCGAAATTGCGTGGGGGACAGCCTCCTGGTGTTGCCGAATGTACTTGGCATACGAAAGCAACTACTTGTAGAGTAAACATTGTTTCCTCACCTCGTTGACGTATCTGCCGAAAAAAAAACCACTTCACGACTTTCGAATTCCCAAGTCCAGCTCGCAGGCTTTGCAAACCTCGTGTGCGTTGTCTTCACCCAGACAACTTGCAAGAGTTGGGAACTTTTCGAAATAAAGTCTAGAGAATATAGTTGCAGGTTTAGCAGCAGACAGTGGAATATTGAGATACGAGTCGAGAACAGTTAGCTCATGGGGAACGGAGATATCGCCGTCCACCCTAAACAATGAAGTCCTGCAAAGATAAGAGTCAGAGGTGGGACAGAGGTTTATTCAAGGCAGTGATCACCCCGAGTTGATTGTCAGCTACCGAGTGACGTATTTGCACAGCACAGTTGGTAAGACGTTGTGTGTTTGTTCGTTGATTAGCTTCACTTGCATAGCCAACTCTGAACAGTGGAATGGTGGCGATGCAGCAGTCATATCCACCAGTTACGCTGTTCTTGTGAACCCTCAGTCGTGGGCTGCATGGATGGACCGGAGGTTATAAGAATCAATGTCAGAGCCGGGGTGAGGGCCGAAGGGCGCGGGGAGTTGCATGTAATTGGTCGACTTTTGACCGCAGAAAGCGCAGAGCTTGAACGGAGATTTTCTGCACACACAAGATCGCCTTTCGTAACCTGATTTCAGCCACTTCCGGTGTTACTAACAGACTCTGGTCCAGTAGCTTAGAGCAGCTCGAGGGAACCTCATAAATAATATGAAAGGATTCGCTGGGGTCCACACAATGCCCGGGATCACCAACATGTGCAAGAATGGCCCTCTATCTGCTCCCAGTTTCGCCTTTTGCAGTCATGCGAGGAGGCGTTCTCGTATTCTCATGGATAGATGCTGACTCGTGCAACAAGTATAATCTGCTCCACAGGAGCAAGTGGAGGAGTAGATGGACATGGAGGTGGTCTGAGATGACAACCCATCCCCACCTTCTCCGATTTTCGGTGTTCTTGTGGGCCCTCTGTCGCGGGCTGCACGAATGAACCAGGATCAGGGCATTTGGTAGGACGTATCGGTGTTCACTCAGTGGAGGCAGTAACACTGAGCTGGATATCTTTCTTCACGATGCCACAGTATTAAACACACGTTTGTCGGGAGTGCTGATAAAGACACCGAAAGATCATTCATATCATACTAACCGTCGTCAGCTGTGTCTGTATTCTATCGCTACATGAAACAGCTGCGAGAACCTCGGCTCATCAATGGGTCTCACAGCGTTCGCCGTTGCTGTTGTTCTTGCTTCTCCGCTGCAACAGTACACGTGGGATTTGCCCCCTGACGGACAAGTGGGTTGGATCCGGGTCTGGCGCACGTTATTGGGCTGCGTCACACATGATGAGTGTTTTATCCGGCTCACGTCGCGCCAGCCACCTGCGCCCAATCCAGCCCCCGGCACTCTTGACTCTGTCTTGCCATCGAGCCCAGCTGGATGAGAGAGATGGGAGAGTGCGGTAGATGCAAAGCATGTCTATTACCACTATAAACTAATTCACGGGCAAGTCACCGTGCCTGCGTCCACAGGGCACCGGGTAGACATCGTCGGAGACGACGGATGTAGTTTCTGAAGCCGTTGTTAGCTAACCAGGTTGAACCCCTATCTTGGGACAGTCTGGCATTCTAACGCTGACTCTTTGGTCGTCTAACTTCAAGTTAAATACTTTACCACTGAGCTGCAGGCTCGTTTTCTTGTCGTTTGCGACCGGTTTACCTACTATGTACTTTTCAGTTGAAAGTTGGGGCCCCTCGGAAGTTACTTGAATACTAACAAGTTATGTCTAGAGTATGTATTTGCAGGTTTAGCAGCAGGCAGTGGGAGTTGAGACGAGAGAAGAACAACTGGCTCACGGGTAATAGGGATATCGCCCCCCAGCAGAACCTGCCGCACTCTCTCCTCCTCCTCCTTATCCGGACCCGGCGTCAAGACAGAGTCAATAAGACCGGAGGCGGGGGGGAGGACGCAGGTAGATGGCGTGGCCAAGCTCGCACCTGGGCGCTCCATTGCACACTATGGGCACGACCTGTATATCCAGCGGTGGCGTAAACGCATCTACCGCTAGAGAACCAGGTACCGGAGAATTGCCAGCGCACAGTAGGCTTCGAGGACCATGGTTTCCTGAATCAGGGCATAGCAGACGCCCCGAATCTTGGGGTCAGAAAGGGTGATGCATAGCCCTACATTTGCCGGGGCCATCACCTTTCAGAGGTTAGGTAACCAGTCGGTCAGCGACTGAAAGACATTACCCACTAGGTAGATCACATTTCTCACATTCGTGAGAGTGCCACAGGTCACTTTAGGAAGGCGTCGTGACAGCCTTGCTCTCAAACCCACCAGTCCGCCCCTCTGCACAAAAACACACAACTGGGCGGACTGATTTGGGGCGTCAGCCGTCAGCCTTCCAACCCACGACGCTTGGCGCACTGTGATAGTCTCGGACTCTGATCACACATGCAGCAGAGGAGCCGCACGACGACGGCGCCGAGGAGCAAACTGCCCACTTGCGTGGGATGTGACAATCGAGTGCTTGCAGCGATGCTGTTGTGTGATGCGGTTGCTGGTGGTGATGGATGTGTGATGTAGCCGGCGGTTGTCTGCCACAGGTTTTCGTGAATTCGCATGCGACCTAATAGCCTCACGCGGTGGCTGAATGTACGGGGGCAGTTGAGGCAGGTGCGGCGAATGTAGATTGGTGCTTCAGGAACTAGTTTGTCAGTCTCCGTGCAATGGGTTCGCAGGTGACCGACCAGGCCGATGTGTGAGGTGAACGTTCGAGCCCAATGAGGACAGGTATGAACCGACCCATCTAACTACAGGCGATGTCACACCAACGCATGTGCCTGCCCAAAATTCCATGCTACAGTAGATGTGCTAACTCATGAAATGTCAACCAACATTTCGAAATGCGTTCTCGTTTCGAAAAGATAAATTCAGTAGTGTTGTAAAAATAATCATGATACAGCATAAATCTATAATGATCTAGTTACCTCAGGGTGTCGGCTTTCGAAAGAACTTATTTTCGGCTGCATGCAAGATCTATACTCTGCAAAAATGACTACTTAAGTAGTATGCAATTTTCTCATCGATTTTCGATGCCCTTGAAAATTCAATTATATTTAATGGAAAACATGCATAAAAATATTCATTCTTTTGCTCAATCGGTAGATAATCACGTCTTTTTCCAATTTCATACTCAAAAGAAGAGCATAATTCGGTTTTAAAAAACTTTTCTAATTCCCGAATAATTTTGAACCCAACCTGCTGTTGCACATGCATTCAGGGTTTCGAAACCACAAGCTGTATATTTTCCGTGTACGGAAAACCATGCATTTCTCCGGGGTGTTAAGAGGAGACCATATGAGGTTCATAAAATTAGGCAGTGGATGTGAGCAATATTGTTAACTTTACAAGCCACAT